TTTGAGTCAGAGTCTCACTCTGTCACCCAGGCTGGAGTGCAGTGGCACGCTCACGGCCACTGCAGCCTCGACCTGCTGGGTTCAGGTGACCCTTCCACCTCCGCCTTCCTAGTAGCTGAACTACAGGTGCATGCTACCACGCCTGGTTAATTTTTTGATTTACTGTAGAGACGAGGTCTTGCCAAGTTGCACAGCTGGCCTTGAACTCCTGGATTCAGGCAAACCTTTCGCCTCGGCCTCCCAAAGTGCTAGAATTATAGACTTGAGCCACCGTACCCGGCCTAACCTGAATATCTTTAGGGCAGAAAAGAGCTATCAGTAGCCCCAACTTCTGACCTGGGATCCACAAAGAGAAAAGCTAGAGAAGACTGTGGACTCTGTACTTCAAGCGTGCAAAATGGAATTAAAGGTTCTGAATAGCACATACACCAGGCCTGCCAACATGGGACCCGATTTGCAATACTAGCATCTTAAATTCACGTTGCCTTTATAGTGCAAAAACGTTAAGGCACTTCATGCAATTCCTAAGGCAGCAGTGGGATGCCCTGCCCATTTTATAAGGGAGAAAGGTGAGGGGACAGGAGCTGGCTCCCTGCAAGCCAAGTGGCTCGTCTTGGGAGCATTCGCTCTTGAACTTCATTCCTGGGGCCCTGATAGAGCAGATGCATCCCCCATGATGCAAACAGAATTGTCTCTCACCTTCTCCAAGCACAATCTAACACTCCAGAGTTTTCCCCATATGTGCAACAAATGGAAATTAAATATGGGACAAAGGGAGGCTTCAGAGCTTTGGCAAATGCTTCAGACTTTGTTCACATGGCGCCCTGGTACAAGGTATAAGAGACAACAACACCATACCTGCCTTAGCTCTCCAATATGGACGTGTTCCTTTTGTTTCTCTTCATATAAACATCTCAGAAAAGAAATAATCAATTCATTCTCTCGCTGCTCGTTTCTTGGTCTCAATTTCTTTAAAAAAAATCAGACAGAATATATTACACTTACTTTTAATTGTCAACAAAATTGCTAAGCCATCCTTGGGGAATGTGTCTCACGCACTAACGAGTGTGGTTACCCAATTGTCTCACCAGGGGGCACCAATGATTCTGAAAGTGAGGATAATTTTTTAAAAGGAACAGAGGGGGGAGCCAGGGGCCACATTTAGCTCTTGATCTCTAATGTCCTCATACCTAAAAAAAATTTTAACATCAGATAGCGGCATAGTCAAAATATTTTCACAAACAAATGGTTTTTAAAACACAAGAAAAAAAAGAATCTACGTCAACACCCAGAGGTCAGCAGCCACAATGACCACACATTTATAAACTCTGATGAACTCATATGGTCAGGAAACTGGAAAGGAAAACAGCAACTGGACACAGGGCCATACTCTCCCACGCCAAATGTGTTCACCATGAAGCACATGGTGGAATTCCCAAGGGACATGCCCTTCCACACAATATATCGTGGCAGGTACTCAATTTCATCTTTCTCTCTTTCTAAAAATTCTCTCTACGCCTTTTGACTTTTCGACAGAATGGTGGCAGCGTTAGGATGTACAGCTTCTAGTTATTGCCTAGAAGTGTGGCTGGAGCCAAGTCACTTAATCTGTTGAAAAGGGGACTGTGCACAGAATAAACTCCACACAGTCTCCTGCTCCCAAATGCTTTCGAGCTGGCCTGTCACTCAGAGTGACTTTTTAAAAGGCCACCTAATTTAATGTACAGAGGGTGCCAAAAAAAATGTATACACGTTTTAAGAAAGGAAAAAATTGTATTCAAATTGTAATACTGAATAAGATGAATGCAAGTCACATTTGACTTCTGCAATTACAAGAGGTGCTCAAAGTGGTCACCACCAGTGTCCAGACACGTCTGGTGATGGGAGCATCTCTTAACATCACTTAAAATGTGGATACATTTTTTGGCACCTCCCTGGTATTTTATTTTCTCTAAATATGAAGAAAATAAAATGAATTACTCTGGGGTACACAAAGCTTTTGGTCTATGAACTCTGGAAATACATCTTTTTTTATAATGACAATTATTCATTGCTTGTTCCTCCTCTCTCCCTACTCAAAATTTCCAGCCTGCCCTTTAAAACAAACTCATGTATAATAAATGGTTCAATGCTGCTCTTGGTGACCTTTTTCCCCAGCTAATTAAGGAAGAGTGGCTTTACCCTGTGTGTTGTGGGCACTCAAAGCAAAAGTTAACACTAATCCAGACTTTCTGACATTTGCTTTCTTAAAGAAAAAGACCATTTTAAAAGGAAAATTGTTCTTGTTACTCAAACACAGTGAATGATTAGAGGGCTTGTTTTCACTGAGCACTTCCTGTTCTTTCAAATTTCAGACCGAAGTATTCCATATTTTAGAGGCTAAAGCAGAGATTGTCAACCTGGTCTCCAGGCCATGAACCCTGATGCTACAAATTGTACATGTTATATGCAACATGTGGATTTTTCTACAGAAAGTTTGTGTTGGATGCTCAGAAGGAAAGTGACAGTTAAGAGCCACGATCCAAGTTAACATGGCTAGGTCCCAAGGGATTTGGGGTACACTGAGTCTAAAAGTCCATGAAACCACAGGAACACTCATTCATTGCTGGTGGGAAGGCAAAATGGTATAGTCATGTTGGAAGACAGGCAGGCAGTTTCTTACAAAACCAAACATATTCTTACCACACAATTCAGTCATTGTACTCCTTGGTGTGTAACCAAATGAGTTGAAACGTATGTTTACACAGAAGCTTGCAACAGCATGTTTAGAGCAGCCTTCTTATCAAAACTTGGAAGCAACCAAGGTGTGCATCAGTAGACAAATGGGTGAACAAACTGGTGCATTATTCAGCAGTGGGAAATGAGCTATCAAGCCATAGAGAGAGAGATGTAAGAACCGTAAGTGCACATTGCTAAGGGAAAGAAGCCAGTCTGCAAAGGCTACAAACAAACTAATGATTCCAACTACGCGGCATTCTAGAAAAGGAAAGACTATGGAGATGATAAAAAGAGCAGAGGTTGCCAGGGGCTAGGGAGGAGGTGGGGGAGATGAACAGGCAGACACGGGATTCTCAACGCAGTGGAGCTATTCTGTATGATGCTGTCATGATGGACACATGACATTAGGCACCGTCACAACCCATGGAATGTATAACACCAACAGTGAGTATAAATGGACACTATGAACTTGAGTTAATAACACACAGGTCGGGTGTGGTAGCTCATGCCTCTAATCCCAGCACTTTGGGAGGCCATATGGGGAGGATTGCTTGAGCCCAGGACTTCGAGACCAGTTTGGGCAACATGGCGAGATGTCATCTCTACCAAAAAGTAAAAAATTAGACAGGTGTGGTGGTACACACCTGTAGTCCTGGCTACTCTGGAGGCTAAAGTGGAAGGACCCCCTGAATCCAAAAGATTGAAGCTGTGATGAACTGTGATCATGATACTACACTCCAGCCTGGGCAACAGAGTAAGACCCTGACTCAAAAAACAAAAAAAAGTACAAATATTGGTTCATCAATTGTAGCAAATATACCACACTCACGCAAGAAGTTATGTTAATAACAGGAGAAACTGTGGGGTAGGGGAAACTCTCTGTATTTTTCACCCAATTTTCCCGTAAACCTAAGACTGCTCTAAAAAAATAAAGTCTAATAAAAAACAAAAACAGTTCAGAGAAGCAGACCGGAGTACCAAGAGCCTCTGAGCAGCTGCAGGTACTTGAGGGGTGACCTGTGCTTTCTTATCCTGTATTTTTACTTAAACCTTTGGGCTACCCGCACAGGGAAATGTGTATTTTGCTTGGAGAAACTCTTCATGATCGTCTATTTCAAAATATCAAAAAAAGGCTACGTATGCAGTCATGGGAGAGGAGAAATATTCCTACATTTTTTTTCTCCTCAAAATACACATGAAAAAGACTAAGAAACAGGCAGGCAGAACATTATTAAAAATGGATGCCAGAGTCCGAGACTGTGCCACGGAGCTTCTTAAACATCACAGAGGATGAGTTACCAAAGCAAAGAAATACATGTTTATGGCATCAATCAATGTCGAGAAATCAATCTGTCCTTAAAGTAATTCTAAAATATGACAAGAGGCTACCCTTCTATTGAGTTAAAAAAGATTAGCAGATATCACTTCCCTAAAACCTCCCAGGTGATCTCACCACACTTGACAGTGGCCAATCATAGTTTCTTAAAGGTGATTCCATTTTATAAACATCCACTGGTCAGAGAGACAAGTCTTAAGAAAATAATGGGGAAACATGGTGGGTAATATCACTTTGCAACCAAAAATTGGTTTGCTTGTTCAAAATTAATCCATAGTGTCATAGGTCAGGATGGAAGGTGGTGAGGGGGGAGGCGACAGCAGAAATGAGGCAGGAAAATGCTCTGTTTCTTAATTTTGGCACTGGCCACACAGGTCTATTAACCTTACAAAAATGCATTGAACTACACACCATTGGCTCATGTGCTTTTCTAGTGGCATGTTATCCTTCAATTTAGAAAAGAATAATATAAAACAATTGCCGGCTAAAAGTAACAAAACGAATTTTGTTACATGTTTCTTAACCTCATTTGCATGAGAGGCTTATAAATTACTGTAAAGACAATTCAAAAGTAAATTTCCAGTTGGGTGTGGCGACACATGCCTGTAGTTGCAGCTACTCAAGAGGCTGAGGCAGGAGGCCTACTTAAGCCCAGGAGGTCGAGGCTATATTGCACTATGATCACACTGAAGCATAGCCACTGTATTCCAGCCTGGGCAATATAACAAGACTTTCTTTTTAAAAATCATAAAAATAGATCAATAAATAGATTTCCAACACTGATTCATGAATATCAGAATGCTAAGAAAACCCGTGGTCTTCTATGGAAGCTACTTTATAAGACAATGCTCATGTGGACACTATACTGACATCTTTTTAAAAATAAATTATAGGCCTGGCTTGGTGGCTCAGCCTGTAATCCCAGCAATTTGGGAGGCCAAGGTAAGTGGATTGCCTGAACCTGCGGGTTCAAGACCAGCCCGGGCAACTTGGCAAGACCTGGTCTCTACAAAAATTACCCGGGCATGGTAGCACATGCCTGTAGTTCCAGCTACTTGGAAGGCTGAGGCGGATAGATCGCCAGAGCCCAGCAGGTCGACGCTGGGGTGGCCGTAAGCGTGCTACTGCACTCCAGCCTAGGTGACAGAGTGAGACTTCGACTCAAAAAAAAAGAAATAATAAAATGAAAATAAATTATAACCAAATTTTATAAGAAGTAATTTTAAAACCATGGAAAATCCAACTAAGTTGATTATATTCTTTCAGAAAGCAAAAAAGGCTCTCCTGGCCATGAATCTTTAAACTGTGCAGTCATCTGATTTAATGAATTATCAATGCCTATTGAGTATAAATCCACTTGATTTATCTACTCAGTATTTAATTAAGCCATGCCCTGAAATATGCTCTTGAGGATTGGGAGGATCAGACTGGGAGACATTTCATTTGCTAGCCCTCCTGTGGCTTGATAGCCATTCTTCATCCTGAACATGACTGATTTGGATCTAGCACTCTTGGCCATCAGCGGAGCAGCACAAGGAGAGAATGAAACCCCCATGAGGTCACCCTCACAAATGCCTAGTTAAGTATGTTTGAAAATTACATATTTTGGCTAGGTACAGTGGCTTATGCCTGTAATCTCAGCACTTTGGGAGGCCATGGTGGAGGACTGCTTGAGCCCAGGATTTCAAGACCAGCCTGGGCAACATAGCAAGAACTCATCTCCACAAAAAAAATTTTAAAAAAGTAGCCAAGCATAGTAGTGCATGCCTGTAGTCCCAGCTACTCAGGAGGTCGAGGCCATGGTGAGGCATGATCGTGCCACTGCACTCCAGCCTGGGCAACATAGCAAGACCTCGAATCAAAAAAAAAAAAGAAGCACATTTTGAGAAGCTCATCAATTAAAAGGTGGTTTTGCAGTGCTATATGCCCACATATGTATCTGGCACCACAGTCTCTTCTCAGGGCTAACAGTGTTGGCTTGTTTACAGCAGAGTTCATCTCCAGCATCACTGATGGGGTTATTATTGATTTCTTTTTCTTTACACCTCTGTTTGCATTCCACTTTTTTGATGTGTTAAACACTCATTTACAAAAACAATGAATATGGTATCTATGTTTTAATAACTATTTAAGTAATCATGTACCATTAGTTTCAATAGTAATTATATTTGCCTTAGAATATCTGCCCTTGTAGGAGTTTTGAAGAAACAAATTCCCTTCCAGGAAAGACTATTTTCAAAGAAAAATATTTACTATTCTGTTTACAAAAGATTCGTGGTACTGAAAAGTCACAGTTTTCTTTAGGGCCTTTTTGAAATGTATGATTTTCTTTTCTTTTTTTTTCTTTTTTTTTTTTTGAGTTGGAGTCTCACTCTGTCGCCCAGACTGGAGTGCAGTGGCCGCTCCCGGCCACCGCAGCCTCGACCTGCTGGACTCCGGTGATCCTTCCTCAGCCTTATAAGTAGTCGGAACTACAGGCGTGCGCTACCACGCCCGGCTGATTTTTTGATTTATTGTAGAGATGAGGTCTCACTGCCCAGGCGGGTCTTGAACCTGCGGGCTCAGGCAATCCACTCACCTCAGCCTCCCAAAGGCGTGGGATTACAGGCTGAGCCACTGAGCCCGGCTCAAAATGTATGATTTCCAAACACATTAGCAGGTACTCTAAGCCACGAGAAGAAAAGATCCATGAACTTGTATCATTCAAGAAAGAGCCACACTCAAAAGATGGACAAAGTGTGAATCGGCTTTTCTGAGCCAGTGAACACCGCCACTGCCCTGTGGTGTTCAGAGTAGCCAATCACAGAGACATCTAGAACACACAGGGGCCCAGGAGATTCACTGAGTGCTTTTTTGTTGTTGTTAAGTGAATCTTAGTCATATCCACTTCTTTCTAAAGTCTCTTTGCCATAATGTAATACTGGGTATCAAAAACCATATGGGTCAAAGAGAATCTCAGAGTCATATTCATTAGGAACTTTTCTTTGCTGTGGAATTGTTTTTGTGTTGCCTACACTGATTCATCACACTGTTTTAAGGACTCGACACAGTACTGTCCAAACAAAAAAGAAAACCCACATTGTGCAAGGGAGGTTTGTCTTCTATTATTGCTAGAAACATGTTCCTCAAAGTGACTTGACGATTCTAGCACCGTAAGTGGGTTGGCATTAGATGAAAAAGGCCCCAGCTTCAATGATAAATGCATTAATAATCAGAAGCATATTGTCTGTTTCTGAATTCCAAGTAGAAATCACACTTGTCTACGGGTATAGTGCACTTCAAACTCTAAACAACTTTTCAAGAAAAAAACCAAAGTTGCAATGTCTCAAGTTGACTCAGAAGAAAATAAAATGTAAAGGCAACTGAAATTGTGAACATTCTCCTCTAGGCTATTTGGGAAATTTTAAAAAATCTTCCTGTGCCTTCTTGCCACAAACATCTGCCAATTCCACTGTAGACAGAAACAATGAGATGAGAGAAGAACTCCAACATGTGATTACAAAGAAAAAGACAATCCTTTGATTTTTTTCTTTTTTTACACTAACGGAAAGCACATTGTACATCCTGTCTGTCTGGTCTTTTCCCAGTGAGGAGAGCAAGCGCCCTGATACCCCATAAGGCTGCTCGCCTTCTTGTTTTGTTGAAAGACTCTATTTGCAGGACCTGCTGGCCACCACCCTCCCTCCCAAAAGAGATATTCAGTCTTCATTCTGATGCGTTCCCCTCGCTAGAAAAGTGTCAGGAAACTGTAGGAAATGGCCTTCGGCTAAAGCAGACATGAAATGTGTGACGAGCTCATTAAAGATTCATAATGAACAGACTCCAGGCGTGCCAGCACGCGCAGCATGGTTGCCCTGAGATACACCGCATCTAAATGCGAGGGCAAAGCCAGCTCCCAGGGTCAAGGCTGACAGCCCCTGAGCTTGGATTCTGTGTTGCTTTCTGAGTTGTTTCTTTAGGGTCGATATGATATGGCTCTAAGTGGACACCCTGCCATAAATCTATTTTCAAAAGAAAAACAAAGCAGTTAGGTTCAAGTTCATGTACCAAACATTGTCTCGTTCAACTCCCACACTTAAGGAAGGGGCTGGCAGGGGTTTCCTGCAGAGCGGATGACTGCGTATGGACCCCAGGCCAGGCCTTCTGTCTCCCACACTTGGCTCTCTCCTCTTCACAACCTCCTCTTTCCTATTCTAACATATTTGCTTAGGGAAGAGGCATCCATGTTTCAGACTTTTTTACTATGTAAACCACCACCTGCTGTGAATCTGAAACTCTGGCCTGGCGCCTGTACGGGGCGTATTAGAGCCTAGGCCAAGGGAGCTTAAGGCCCTTCTGCCAGGCTGGGACAGCACAGATTTACTGTGTTGCATGAATAATGTCTCACAGGTAAGCTGCCTGCCTTCCCTTCTGCCTAGAAATGAAAAACTCTACTGTACCTGAACCTCCTCAAAAATAGTTGCTTGCTCCTGATTAGTTAATGTCGTCAGATGCTTCTGCAGTTCTAACTTGGTTTTGGAAGAATTCATTCCTGTTAAGAGAAAAAACGGAGATGTGAAAAAAAAAAAAACAACTATGAAAAAGTTGTGAGGTAGAGTTAGCCTCTTCCACACCATTCTCTTTATGTTCTTCCCACTTCAGGCTTTCAAAGTTTTATAAAAATTCTAATCAGTAATAATGTCAATGATGTTATCATCGCCATCATCTTCTAACTGAGCTCTGATGTGCTCAATGCTGTATATTAGGCATTAAACCTACATCATTTCACATAAATCTCAAAACAACCTGAAGAAGAGGATGCTATTATCCCCATTTCACAGCTAAGGAAACTGAGGCCCGGGTTACAAAGACCACCGACTTGGACTCTCCCACAAATTTATGTGGTTCCAAACTACCTCCTCCATGTTAAAAAAACCTCACATCATCAATGTTCTCCTCATGGTAAATTCTGTTGAGTATATATAAACATGACAACTTTTTTTCATTAAAAAAAATTTTTTTTTAAATCACTATGTTGTCCAGCTGGTCTCAAACTCTGGGGCTCAAGTGATTCTCCTATGTTGGCCTCCCAGAGTGCTGGGATTATAGACATGAGCCAGTGTGCCCGGCCAGATAACTTTTTCTTAAAGAAAAACAACTACTACTACACAGTCTGAAACTGACCATTTCTTGCATGTTGGATTCTTTTCACATAAAACTGGTCCACGTGGCTAACAATTTTCCTTTTATCACCATATGCTTATTCACAATCTTACAATCTTAAGACCATTGAATTAACATTACAAAGGGTTTTGAGTTATGCAAACAAAGTCATGACGTAATTTTAGTGCCCGTTAGGATCTGGTATTTCAAGCAGTTCCTTCCTCAGACAAATGTGACTGACAGCCTGTACTGCTCTTTCTTGATGGCCCGAGATAAATGTCACACACACAATGAGATTTATAATGAAAGGATTTGCTGACCCACCCATATGAAAACACCCACACTGGCTATTTTTTCAACAAGGGAAGCTCTCCCCTCAGCTACCTGCCACTCCCCTTTCCTCATCCCAAGACGGTGTACCCTGGGCAGAAAGGCCTGACCAAAGCTGAGCTGGACAGCGTGTCACAGTGTCAGATGCTCCTAAACAACTAAAGGAGGCCAGAGAGAAACCTGCCAAGCTAGGGAATCCTCTTCAGGAACCCAGAAACCATACCTTTGTTTTCCAGATGTGTTTGCTGAGGACTGGAGAAGCCGGGTGACGTGTCAAAGGTCAGGAGGCCACTCAGCAGCCATGCCTGCCCAGGGTCAATGCCCCTTCCCAAGGCAGCTGAGCCCAATTCTCTCGGCAGGCCGTGCTGGGGCAGAGGAAGCTCAAACTGTTCTGCTTCCAGAAAGGTATTCTTCTCTTTTTTTAACCCAAGAAAACCCTGATAGGCCATCATAAAAATAATGATCAATATTCTCTTTTTTTGAATCAGAGCCTCACTCTCTTGTCCAGGCTGGAGGGCAGTGGCACCATCACAGCTCACCACAGCCTTGACTTCCTGGGCTCAAGTGACCCTCCTGCCTTAGCCTCTCAAATAGCTGGGACTACAGGTGAGCGCCACCCATGTGCAGCTAATTTTTTTATTTTTCTATAGTTGTCCAGGCTGGTCTCGAACTCCTGGGGAAGCATTTCTAAAAGTATAGATGGCACATTGTTAGAGGCATCTCTGGGCTTAAGCAATCCTCCTGCCTCAGTCTCCCAAAGTGCTGGGATTGCAGGCGTGAGCCACCACACCTGGCCTCCAATATTTCTTAAATGATCGCTATATCACCTCGCTTAACACTTTACATTTATTATCTCATTTAATCTTCAAAATAATCCTTGAAATGACCATTTTCTTTTTTTGTTTTTCCTTCTTCTTTTTAGTAATCCCAATGTAGAAAAAACTGAGGTACGCTGAGGTCAAGTATTTTGTCCAAGGTTTTAAGCAAGGGACAGAATTAGAATCTGAACCATGTCTGTTTGCCTCCAGTGACCTGGCTCTAAGCCACTCGATGCCCCTTGACTAGGAGTCAAGTTGCTTGACACTCAGGTGACTGCAATGCAACAGTGAATTGTGCAGAGAAGACAGATGGATTGTCAGAGTATACTTCCATACTCTTCCGGCATGCTGCCAGGTTACACAAGGCCAGGAGAGCTGGTGCAAGGCACTGTGTCCATCACTTAAATGCTAAGGTGAACTAGTGTGTACATTGATGAATAAAAGCATCCAGTGATGATTATCTGTCTCCTTCCCACACATAAGGGATGTCTCTGACACAGTCTAAGCATCCTATTTTGGAAAAACCTATTGTTTCATGAAACATTCCTATGCGAGAAATAAATCCTAAGCCCTAAGAAGAGTTAGACTAATTCCAGACTCTCGACAGTCTCAGGTGAAATCATGACCTGCAGTGCATTCTTCACTTCAGCAGGCCCAAGGGGATCCCCGGCCAGTTTCATCCTGGCTTCAGGATGCTTCAAGCCATCAGGCTTCTTGCTCCATCTCAAATCAGCTGGTCCCACCTCTGTGTGGATTCTTCCCACCCCAGGCCCTCGTGGATGGGTCCCATCACAAGGTTCCATGCCAAGGCAGGTGCTCAGTGGCTTCCCCAGGCTACTGGCGGAGAATGGGAAGAAAGGAACAAAGCAGAAAAGAGGTAACCAGAGCCTAAGGAACTTCCAGACTCTGATCCCTCTCAGCCCCTGTTGCCAGTGAGGCCACACCACACTGCAGGTGCTAGAAAGGCTCTTATTCCAGGGGGCTCTGATGACTTTGTTTCACTGGAGGAAAACTTTGCTCTGAGTGCAAAAGAAAATCTCAGTTCAACCTTCCATTATTGTCTGAGTGGAAGAATAAGTCATTCAAGCAATTCCCAAAATGCTCCTACAAATTCCAAGCCAAATACTACACAAGGACCTCGGGGTGTACACAGTTCTAATACAGAATTGGGTATAGCTGACTTCTAATATGTTGTAAGTGCATATAAGAGTAGAGAAACCAGTGTGGACAACACGGACAGTGTGGTCAACAAGGACAGTACTATTGCATTGATTCTCAGGTATAACTTGACTACATCAACTGATTAAGAAAACACAGATTTTAAGTATTTTTTAATGTGGCCATGTTACTAGTCTTCTCCAGAGTTTACAGAGTTCTTGGTTGGACCATAGCTTCCTGGTAGAACTACACTTACAGGAACATATAATGAGTTTTAATAAGCTACTTCTCTCTCCTTAATAGGAACACAAGGAACAAGTCCCTTAATAGGCAAGGGACTCTCTAACTGTTTGTTAAACAACTAGCACGTCCTCAACTAAGGATGCCTCTAACAATGTGCCATCTATCCTTTTAGAAATGCTCCCCCAGGAGTTTGAGACCAGCCTAGACAACATAATGAGACATGGTCTCTACAAAAAAAATTTTTTTAATTAAAAAAAATAGCTGGTCATGGTGGTATACACCTGCAATCCTAGCAATTGGAGAAGCTGAGGCAGGAGGATTGCTTGAGCTCAAGAGTTCAAGGCTGCTGTAAACATTGACACCACCACTGCACTCCAGCCTGGGTGAAAGAATGAGAGCTTTTCCCAAAAAGAAGAAGAAGAAGAAAGAAATAAACGCTTCCCACCATGTAGGTAAAGTCTACCCTCACCAGACTCCTAAATATACCATACACCATTTAAGAATGTTTTGACACAAGCAAGGTTTTCTGCTTTGGTTGGGAATTTATCAGATAAAAGATGAATTAAATGATGGATTTCAAAACGACACCAGCAACATCCTGCCCCGATGAAACTTTTCAGCTGTAACTTTCTGGAAGCTAAGCCAGTCCCAGGAAAGATCTATCAAGTAGAACTTGGGAAGCACTCCAAATTCTGCAGATCGCCATCTGCTTTATCTGCAAGGCCAGTCATTGCTGGCATCGTAATAAGCTCTTAAGGGACATTTTTGTCATCGGTTACCTTATCTTGACAACCACTAAGGAAAGGGTTCATGATCCTTTCAGCTGGGAACTCTAGTTACAGCAAAACTTCTTGTGTTCCCAGATATATTTTGTATCGTGTCAGCAAATAGCAACAGTTGGAGAAAACAGTCGAAAATATCCATCATGTTCAGTCATTTTAAAGAGCACTGTACTGCCACAAATGAACCTTCCCAGACTTTAATATGTCAATTGCTAATTTATCTCATTTTAAAAGGGAAACCAGATAACCACTTCACATGCATTAGAATGGCTATCATCCAAAAAACAAGAAAATAGCACATTTTGATACTAGATACTAGAACCCCTGTGCATTGGCAGTGGGAATGGGAAATGGTCTAATTGCTTCAGGAGACACAAGTACCATATAATCTAGCAATTTCACTTCTGGGTATATATACCTGAATTGCAAGCAGGCACTTGAACAGCTATTTGTGCATGAACATTTGAAATAACATGATTCACAACAGCCAAAAGGTGGAAATAACTCAAATGTCCACTGATAGATAAATGGATAAACAAAATGTGGCATACACATATAATGGAGTATTATTCAGCCTTAAAAAAATTAAATTTGTGCACATGCTACCACATGAATGAACCTAGAAGACATTACGTATGCTAAGTGAAATAAGCCAGAAAAAAAGAGTACAAATATGGTCTGATTCCACTTATATGAAGGTACCTGGAGGACTCCAGTTCATACGGACAGAAAGTAGGATGGTGGTCATGAGAGGCTGGGGGGAAGGAGAGTTAACATTTAATATGTTTCAGTTCGGAAAGATGAAAATGTTCTGGAGATGGATGATGGTGAAGACTGACAATGTGAATGGACTTAATGAAACTGAATTATACATTTTTAAACAGGTTAAAATGGGATCCTGGTGCAGTGGCACACACCTGTAATCCCAGCTTTTTGGGAGGCCGAGTTGGGAGGATTGCTTGAGCCTAGGAGTTTGAGACTGGCCTAGGCAACATAGCAAGATCCTGTCTCTACAAAACGTGTGTGTGTGTGTGTGTGTGTGTGTGTGTGTGTGTGTGTGTGTGTGTGTGTATCACTTCTGGGTATGTATACCCGAAAGAATTGGAAGCAGGTACTTGAACAGTTATTTGTACATGAATATTCGTGGCAGCATTATTCACAACAATCAAGTTGGGAGGCTATAGTAAGCTGTAATTGTACCACTGCACTCCAGCCTGGGCAAAAGAATAAGACCCTGACTCAAAAATATTTTTAAAAAAAAATTTTTTTTTAAAGCTAGAATGGTAAATTTTATGTAATGTATATTTTTCCCACACTTAGTTTTTAAAAAAGGAAAATCAGATATAAATAGCCATGTAGCTGCTCTTTACCAAAAGCATTTGAGATACATAGGAAAATGACCAAATCTTTTTCTTTTCACATTAGCATGGGTTGTTTAAATCGTGTGATACCCCATTAGAAAAAAAAAAATTAGAAATCCTCCCATCCACAGAACAAAAATACAAATAGAGGGCCCCTTCCTCTTCCAGATGCGTCAGGTAAACAGCATTACTACTCTCTTCCAGCTTCATCTCAGCTCTGTCCTTTCACTCAAGCCTGGGTGACAGAGTGAAACCCCCAACTGGAAATAATAATAATAATACTAAAATGAACACTAAAACTTGGGTTTTCAGATCTTAGTTATTTTATTGTTATGGGACCAATCAAAGTAACATTTCTGATCGCCCTTCCCTGCAATCCCAGAGATAGAGATTCTCTCTTCCTGCATGAGGCGGATTCTCACGCTTGTTCAGAAAGAGCGCCCTCCAGTCCTTTCTGGCTTCTCTGGCCCCATGGGCTCTGAATCTGCACAAACCACTCTAATTCTTAAAACCAAAGTCAGTTGCAGTCCTGGCCTTCTCCTAGCAGGACCTTCTCCTGGAGAGGTTTGGTCACAGGCACCGTGAGGGCTTTACTGCCTGGGGCTGAATCCTGGACTCACCCTATACTAATTTATTCCTAGGCATCCCTAATCCTCAATTTACTCATCCGCAAAATGTGTAAAATAAATAGTCCCCTCTTCTCCCATAAATGTGGTGAGGCCTGAATGGATCACAGAAAGCATTTCACACAGTGCCTGGCAGATCTTAAGTATTCAACAAATACTGGCTGTTAAGTCCTAACACAAGTTTCTGGAAATCTTGGTCAATACACAACAGTCACCACTTCTTTTATTCCATCCCATTTGCTCCTCAATTGAAACCTGTCTCCTCTTCCCTCCACTCCATTCAAACGGCACTGGGATCGCTTACCGTGTACCTTCTAATGGAGAAGCTTAGCGAACATTCCTTAGTTCTTCTCTTTCTAGATCTCTCTAGACTATTCACACAGCGTGAAAAATGCTAGGCAACCGATTTGGTAACCTCTGTTTCCCGAACACCTCCACCACCCTCAGAGTAGCCTGGAGGGGAGATAACAGGCAGGGCCTTGGGTTCTTATCGAAGTGGCCCCAGCACCTGGCAAGACACCTGACACTCAGAAGACACCCACTGCACGTTGCGTGTCTACCCACCAACACTGTGGCTAGCACAAGCCTGTTAGGCAGAACCTTTCAGCAAATGCGTATCGCTCGAGGTGTTCCTGGGATTCTGAACCCCACAGTGTTGGTGCGGGTCCCCTACTCACCCTCTATCCTCTCACAGAGCTTGTGCAGGGCCTGCAGTGGGCAGCCCTCGCACAGTTGGGCGGGCGCTTTTGCCGTCTGCTGCACCGCTGCCACCGTGAAAGCCTGTTTCAGGGTCATCATAATTTCATCAACCTAATCAAAGAGAAAAGAAATTGTAGCCAGCAAAAAGTTAACTTAAAATTAACTGGGCAGAGATGTCACAAAATCTACAGAAAAGACCTTTTGAGATATTAAGAATTTTTCTGGACTACTCTTCATGGGCCAACAGATAATAATTGTACTAATGGCTAGGATTACAGTCTGAGTACTACCTGGGTGCTTCATAAAACAGATAAGGGAAAAGTTAAAAATGTAAACTAAAGACTGGGCATGGTGGCTCACATCTGTAATCCCAGTATGCTGAAAGGCCAAGGTGGGAAGACTGCTTGAGCCCAGGAGTTCAAGACCAACCTGGGGAACATAGCAAGACCGTGCTACAAAAAATTAAAAAATCAGCTGGGTGTGGCAACGCACACCTGTTGTCTCAGCTACTCGGGAGGCTGAGGTGGAAGGATTTCCTGAGCCCAGGAATCTGAGGCTCTGGTGAGCCATGATGGTGCCACTGCACTCCAGCCTGGGCAACACAGTAAGACCTTCACTCAAAAAAGAATAATAATAATAAAAATGCAAACTAAATACTGAACAAAAAGCAAACTCCTCTTATCAAAAGTCCAAAGTGACATTTTTAAATGCTAGACCAGAAGGTGAAACTGAGCAAATTCTTCAAACATAATAAAAAATGTAAAATGCATATGCAAATAAGTCTCAGATGTGTATGAGCTAGTTATTAAACAGTCAAGAGTAAATAATTAAAGCCAAACAATGGTATGTCAATGACACTCTGGTTTTGCTAAGGACAGAAACACCAGTGAGGTCAAGAACCCTTGTGAACGTGGTTGCAGGGACACATGTGCCCATCTCACCAGAGCTTCATTTGCGCACTGAAACACGTAACAGACGAAGGGAAAGCCGCCGCCTCCCGAGGACTCCCGGCAGATAAACCCAAAGTGGTCCACGTGTCTGATGCCCTGTCAGAGGCAGGGGAAGGAGAGAACAGAGGGTGAGCTGTATCCAGAAGAGGCACCACCACCAGAAATGCACCTGAGAACTTACACGACACAGCGTTAAAGAACACTAGAAAATTACTATTTTCTCAGACATTTTGAAATTTTAAAAAGATATAAAAACATCTCTCTCACATAGGATAAAGACCAAGGTTGTTTTACCAAAATGCTACTTTGATTAGACCCATAACAATAAAATAACTAAGATCTGAAAACTCAAGCTTTAGTGCTCATTTTGGTATTTTTATTTTATTATGATTGTTGTTATTATTTTGAGTCAGGAATTTCACTCTGTCTCCCAGGGTGGAGTGCAGAGGCGCAATCACGGCTCACTGCAGCTTTGATCTCCTGGGCTCAGGCAATCCTTCCAGCTTAGCCTCCCAAGTAGCTAGGACTACAGGCACATGCCACCATGCCCAGCTAATTTTTTTGATATTTTCTGTAGAGAAAAATTTTAGGATTTTTTAAAAAGCAGAAAAAAGCTGACAGAAAAATCAGAACTTTTCTTAGGTATTAAAAGAATTTTTAAAATGGCTCGAAAAATCAAAAGCATACCAGAGATTAATGAAGAAACACAACCATGTACATATACACATGTACATGTATGTGCTTGAATGCACACACACACACACAAAAGTTTAAAAATGATTTCAAATATGTTTGCACTCATAAAATAAATACTAAAGTGAACTGGAATAAATAATGCAGGCCACCAGAGTGGCTCACGTTTGTAATCCCAGCACTTTGGGAGGCCGAAGCAAGAGGACTGCTTGAGCCCAGGAGTTTGAGACCAGCCTGGGCAATATAGTGAGACCTCATCTCTACAAACAAATAAAAAATTAAAAAAAATAAAAATAAATTAGCCAGGCATGGTGGCGTGTGCCTATAGTCCCAGCTATTCAGGAGGCTGAGGCAGAAGGATTGCCTGAGCCCAGGAGGTTGAGGATGCAGTGAGCTGTGATGGTGCCACTGCACTCCAGTCTGGGTCATAGAGTGAGATCCTGAATCAAAAAAATATATATATATATATATGCACAAAGTAGTGTAGCTTTTCAACATAAGTTATTAGCTCAAGGCTCTACTATAGTTTCCTAAGAACTCTTTTAAATGAATATTAATATGTAAACTTGTTTTGAAATCCCCAGCTAACAGAGGCGCCCTAATACAGATAAAACATCTCCCATAAACATCAATATGTCAATGTCTTCTGGAAGCATCAGCATGCAGAGCTATGAGCGCTGATGGTGTGAGGTTCAGGTAATCATATAAACAAGAAATAATGAAGCTACAGCATAAAAATATGAACATTTAACATGAAGACTTCAACAGTATTCCTTTAGGGCAATGCAAGTAAATAAATAAATAAAGACTTCAACAGAAATAGCAGCAAATTGGGATAAAAATTCTGTGGATAGTCTTACTTTCAAGGCCAAATATTTTCCAATCAATGACCAATCACTGACATACCCTGACATCTCAATCAGCATTCTGTACGAGCAAATTAAGCACAGGCTAGTGGCTGCAACTTAGGGCAATATGACTCAGAAAAATCTTTTCTTTGTAAGTGATTCCCTAATGACTCTATAAAGAACATTATTTTTTTTTTTTTTGAGTTGGAGTCTCACTCTGTCACCCAGACTGGAGTGCAGTGGTCGCTCCTGGCCACCGCAGCCTTGACCTGCTGTGCTCCGGCGATCCTTCCGCCTCAGCCTTCCAAGTAGCTGGAACTACAGGCGCGTGCAACCATGCCCGGCTAATTTTTGATTTATTGTAGAGATGAGGGCTTGCCAAGTTGCCCAGGTGGGTCTCGAACCCGCAGGCTCAGGCAATCCACTCACCTCGGCCTCCCAAAGCATGGGATTACAGGCTGAGCCACCGAGCCTGGCTAGAACATTCTTCATTTGCAGATTTTGCAGGGAAAAAAATCCTTTTTGACTATTTAAGTAGATCATTTTCTTTTTTTTTTTTTTTTTGAGCTGGAGTCTCACTCAGTCACCCAGACTGGAGTGCAATGGCCGCCCCCGGCCACCGCAAGTAGATCATTTTCTAAACCAACAAATGCTGAGATTTTCATTATATTTTATTAATTATGAAAAGACAGAGTTTAAAAAAAATAGCCAAACATAACTTTAACAGGCCTCATATTTGTTAGGAAGGTCCTGAGTAGAACTGGCCTAGCTATGAATGGATTGATCCAGCCAAAACCTCTCGATGAAACTCCTGGAAGAGTATCAAGAAAGAAGTTTTCAAGTAGACACTGGATTATGAGTAAAACATTCACAAAGATAAGCACCATTATATTTGAAGGGAGAAGAAACACTGATGACTGGTACCAAAAAATGTGATGAATTTTTGTAAAGTAGAAATCCATATCTAATAAACAGATCTATTTGGATGACTGTGTTAATACACACACGTGTAACGTGCCCATGGACACACATATATGCCCCTGGAAATCGTGACTGGAGAACATTCCTACCAATGAGAAAAAAGAAAAGTAGGTCTCTTTTATTCATTAGGCTATTGCTGCTAAGAAAAGATTCTTAATTTCAAAATTGCATTTATAATTTGCCTTCATATACCAAAACAAAGAAAAAAACCACAAAATTAAAGTCAAGTACAGAACTTAGAAAACATACACCTTGCAAGCTTTAGTGCTTCTGCTATATGGCACATATTAGAGGAATTCGTTTAAAAATTCAGTTGCAATTGAACCAGTAAGCCATCCCCATTTACCTGAGAACAAAAGGATATCTCCTTAAAATTTTTCTCCAATGCTATTTTTTTGGTGTCAGGACTGATGAGGTAAACTTCAGACTGACCAATCTTAAAAGACAAAAACATTTTCATGAAAGTTGAAATCAAATGTATCGTACAAAGTTTCTCACTTGACGATGTATGAGAATAAAGAATAAAAGGACAAGCTCCTATACAATTCTGACTGTATCATCGTAGGAAATCACTTCAAAAGTTCTAATGTGTCCTACAGACTTCAGGGCGAACAGGATGCCTGCTGGTGCACTTGCCTAGGCAAGACAGCAGTCTTCTTTGAGATGAAAGGACCAAACACCCACAAGTTAGCAAAAGGCCTCATGTCCCACATCCCCCCACAAAAGGAAATGAGTAGTCTATATCAGTGAATCTTCTAGAAAACAGAAGCTTTTCTTTTCAAATTTCTAATGATTATTTTTACTAATGATCATTTCCTACCGACAAATCTTTTTAAATTATTGTGACTCAACTATGTGTGGAGAACATATTAACTTAGGTGTTCACACACACTACTTACCTGACTTTTTCAAGTTAGAGCATAAGCATAAATTAACATTGCCTTGCTGACTTGAGATATGCTAAGGGATATTTGTTATAGGAGTACCGTGTTGCGATACCCACACTGCTAAGTGTGCTCGTGTTCCTGTGGACAGCAGAGGCTGCCTCCTGGACTCCAAGCCTCCAGAGTGCTAAGCTTTGTGGGTTTCTGCGTGTGTCATTTCTACAGCTTTAGTTTTTCTTTGGGATCAAGAAGTCAGTGGTCACATCCTGATGCTGCCACTGTAACTCACAGTACTATCTCCTCCTCTAAACTCTTTATACTTTGATGTGGAGTACAAATTAGGTATACTTAGTACTCTAGTAGCTTATAAGAAACTAGAGTACAAGTCAAGAGAAATTTTACCAACTGTTCTGCCCATCAAAACTGAACTGGATCAAAAACTGTGGGACTTATACACAATGGAATATTAAGCAAGCATAAAGAAGAACAAAATTTTGGACTCTGCAGCAACTTGGACGAATTTGAAGTCTATCATACTCAGTTAACTGTCACGGAAACAAAGAACTGAGCACCACATGTTCTCACTCATAAAGTGGACCCTGAACACCTATCTTAATACTACAAAAAGGGATTGGCAAGTCGCTGGGGGAGGGAGGACATGACATATAACATCAATAAGGATGCCTGATCCTAATCCAGGTGAAGTGAGGGCCAATGAGAGGCCCAAACTTCACCTATATGTAGACCACATATGTACCCAATCCTAACTTGTACTTCACATTGTTAGAATGAAATATATATTTTCTTAAGTGTAATTATACTCTCAATGGGTAGATGAGTGAGCCAAGAAACATGCCTCTTGTATAAGGCATGTACTTTGTACTCAGGATAGTTTCTGCACACAACTTCTGAACTGTATTCCAGCCAGGGAAGATTGAGAGGTGGCCTTTTACCCTTCTCCTTCTGGAGACCAAGGATGGTCTTCCCAGAACTAATTCACTTTTAACATGCGACATCTCTTGGAATGAGCCCAGTCCCTGAGTGTCTCTCTAGAGTAGGAACCAACACAGCAACCACCTTACTTGCAAACAGTGAATGAACAATCACCCTGAGTATGTTTAGTCTCATTAAGAGGGCAATGTCTTTATCCCCGACAATTAAGTTTGCCAACTCATCCTAGAAAAAGTGCTACATATCTCATTGCTGAATATAACTCACTGCTGAATACCACCCTCCAAGTACGCTCCCTGGGGAGCTACGCACCGACACCAGCACCCAGTCCACCGTCAAAGTCATTCTGCAACTCTTTTTCTGGAATGGCCATCAGAGCAGTTGTCATATTACCCTTGATGTCCTGAATGTCATCCAATGTCTTCCTTTCAATATTTCCTTTATCTTCAGGTAAAGAAAAAAGTCACTGGGGGGCCACATCAGGTGAGTAGGGAGGGTGTTCCCATACAGTTATTTGTACAGTGCTGCCAACCTAAACGCCCGGTGGCAGGTTCGCGAACTTAATTGTCACAACTCAACAAATAACAATAACAGCTCTGATGGCCATTCCAGAAAAAAGAGTTCTAAAATTACTTTGATGGGTGGACTAGGCACTGACATTGGTGTATAACTTCCCAAGTGGAGTACTTCAAAGGTGATGGTAGTGATATTCAGCAGTGAGCTATGTAGCACTTTTTCTAGGAAGGTTCATGAACCCAATTGTCAGACCTTGTACAGAATGAAGATAAACCCTGCTGATTTTTAAATGAACGTCTGATAATCTCATGGTTGAGATGCTCCACGGCATCATTCTTTGGTTGTGGCTGGGCTGTCAAGGGCAAATCAGAAGCTAGAAGCGGGCAGGGCCCCTGTGACCCCTCTTTTTCCCCATCACAGCCAGCCAATCATGTGTTCCACCAGCTAGACCTCCGGTGTGCCTATCCCCTCTGTCTTTCACTGTAAGCCCCACCCTTTCCCACCTAGACTATTACAAAGGCTTCTTCACCCTCTTCCCGACCCACTCTTTCTTCCCCCAAGCACATGCTCTCTCTGTATTCAAAGACACCGCACACTGGGTTTTAAACCTTGCAGTGACTGCTGCTGCTTTCAGTATTTAAAAAAAAAAAAAAAAAAGAAAGCCAGGCTCGGTAGCTCAGCCTGTAATTCCGCGCCTTTGGGAGGCTGAGATGAGTGGATTGCCTGAGCCCGCAGGTTCGAGACCCGCCTGGGCAGCGAGACTTCATCTCTACAATAAATCAAAAAATCAGCCGGGCGTGGTAGCGCATGCCTGTAATTCCGGCTACTTGGAAGGCTGAGGCGGAAGGATCGCCGGAGCCCAGCAGGTCGAGGCTGCGGTGGCCGGGATCGGCCACTGCACTCCAGTCTGGGTGACAGAGTGAGACTCCAACTCAAAAAAAAAACCAAAACCCTGAGCATGACCCAAGAGGTTGTGCCTGACAAAGCCCGAGCCCCACCCCTACCCACCATCCCTCCTCACGTTCGGTGCGTTCACCCGGTCTTCCTGCTCACCAACGCCAGTGGGCACCTGCCACACGCCAGGCTGTGCTCTAGGCACAAGTGACAGTGGCACAGGACAGACAGATGAAGATCCCTGCCCTCGGGAAGCCTACCGCCCGGGGGGCATGTGGGACACACAGATCTTTGTGTTTATAATTGTGTCTGGTGGGGAAAGTGCTATGGAGAAAAATGAGGCCAAGACAGAGGCTGAAAGGCTACTGTTGGCCTCACTGACAAGGTTGTTCCTCCATATCACGTGAACATCTCAGCAGAGACCTGAGTGGGGTGAGGAAGAGAGGCCCGTGACCACTGGGAGAGCCAGAGCACACAGGCTTTGGCTCCCAGGCTCCAGGCTCTCCCTCCCTTGGGGCCTTCTAGACTGCTGTTCCCAGAGGCCAGGAGACTCTCCTGCAGGGCCACACTGAAACCTTCACTTGGAAAAAATTGCTTTCTCAGAGAAGCCATTCCTGACTCCCCAGGAAAATGCTCTCCCAGCGCCCCCTCATCCTCTGCAGCACAAGTCACAACTGTCATGAGATGATCACTCGTGCCATCAGCAGCTGGTCTCTCTCACTGGAATCTAAATTCCACCAGGGCAGAGGCCACACCTGTCTTGTTCATGGCTGCATTTCCAGCAGGCTGCAAGGGACCTTGTGCACAGCAGTCACACCATAAGTACTTGTAAATGATGCACAGAGCAGCTTTCCCAAGGATACCAAGTGAGTGTCAAAACAAACAAGTCCAGGCATGGTGGCTCAGGCTTGCAATCCCAGCACTTTGGGGAGGCCAAGGAGGGAGGATGACTTGAGTCCAGGAGTTCAAGACCTGCCTGGGCAACACAGCGAGACCTCATAAAAAAAAAATTAGCTGAGCAAGATGGCATGCATCTGTAGTCCCAGCTACGAGGGAGGCTGAGACAGAAGGATTGCCTGAACCCAGAAAGTTGAGGCTGTGATGAGCCATGATTGTGTCACTGCACTCTAACCTGGACAACAGAGTGAGACCGCAACACGAAAAAATGAAAAATAGAGATCACAAATTAAAGCACAAATCTAACTGATATAGCATTCTGTTCAGTGTACTGGGTCCACGACGAAGAGGAAAAAAGCAGCCCTGCTTGCCCTCTGCACATGACCTTAACTGTAAACTGTAAACCAGCATTTACTCACATGGCCTTAACCTGGATAGGGGGTTTCCCTATCCTTGGCCATCTCACTGTCCTGAGCTAGGCACAAAAACGAGATACTGCATTTACGGCAATTTGGTTCTCTATAAAATGTTAGTCTGCGTTAAACCAAAGACAGGATCAAGGAGAAACCAATTCCCTCCACAACCAGAAACCAGCTCACTGCTAGGACAGCTCCCAGTGTCATCAGCTCAGACCCAGGGGACACCCCCCAGGGAGGGCAGACCCATCCAGAAGCACCCAGGCCAGCCCAGAACCGGGGACAGCTTCCCTCTCCTGTCCTCTTATGGCACTGGGTGCACTGTCCATTTGACAAATTATTTTTAGAAAAAAGCATGAAATTGGCTAAAGTGATATTTCAGTTTAGGTATAAATTTCAAATATAATGTCATTTAAGAAGCCAGTTATCCTGACTAGCAAGAGTATGTGTTTTATAAATGAAAAGAGTAAAGAGAATATTTTCCAACTAACAGATTTCGTTGAAATACATTACTTGAAATTCATATACTTAAAAAAAAATCTCTCTTTGGGCCTCTTACATATTTTAACTGTTATTTTCCACATTGGAAAGGTGACCTTACAGTCACACAGGACAGAAGGGAGATAAAAATGACCCATGAATAAGCGAGGGATTCTCTTTATGCCCTCTTCGCCAACTCCCCATGATGGTAAGGGTTTATGGCTAAAGTGAGAACATTCTCCTATGAAAAAATTATTCAGCATAAAAATATATGGATGCACACACAAATCCAAAAGCAATATACGAAGAATCTTCGCTCAGTGAGGCAGATTTTGTTTTGCCCACGATCACAGGCTGGGACTAGCAGGAGGCTGGATAATATTTTACCGTGAAGAGCATAGTTCGATTTTCCTCGATGTCCGTGGGCTGCACAATATTGTGTCCGCTAATGAGGTGGTTCTCAATGTCTTTTTCCTCAAAGGAGCTGAAAAGGCTGCTGCTTCGGAGGCCTCCATCCTGGAACTCCTTCCTGAAGGCCAGCGAGCGCAGGCCCGGCTGGGAGGAGGACTTACGCATGGGCCTGCGCCCAGGCTCTGCACCGCCTGAGGGTGGCCGGGCCTGAAACTGACCCGGGCAGGCCAGTCCCTGGGTGCGGCGGGGGCTCCCGGGGCTCCGGGCAGGCAAGTCCGCCTCTGCTTTCCTGCTACAACTGACATGGTTGAACTGCTCGATGCACTCGTCGATCAGGGCTGGCGGGGCCTTCTTGTGTGCCACCGTCACTCGGCCGCAGAAGAGCACCTCGAACTTCTTGGCGAACGTGTCGTCAAACTCCGAGGGGCAGTGCAGCTCCTCCTGGCGGGCGATCTTCCCGGCCTGGCGGATGGAGCTGATGATCTCAGGCACCTGGGGGAAAGGGAGGGGGGTCGTTAGGAGCTGGCAGTGGTGGATACCATCTGCGGGCACACAGGGGGTGAATGCACTGTGCTCTCTCCACAAGGCTATTCCATCACAGGAGCACTGGAGGAGGAGCCCACGGAGGTGGGATGGCGAATGCCTTCCCATGGGAGGAAAATACACAGCTTCCACAGAAGAGAAAGGAGGCAGTATTGATTAAGCACCTCTTATGTGCCAAGGGCTGTGCAAGAGGATTGACACACCCAAGATACCCTGCAAAGTTAAGTAACCTGCCCAAAGACACACAGCAGTAGGTCTGGGATTCAAACCCAGGCTGGTTCCACTCCAAAGCCAAAGAGGTCTGTCTCCTTCCAAAGAGGTCTGTTGCCTCTCCAAGAAATCTGTCACCTCCCAAAGAGATCTGTTTCCAGCATAGCTCACCAAAACATGTTTCATTTCTTCTAGATATCGTGGCAGTGTACTTTGGAAAGTTCTCCTCAATACATGGTAAGATGAACAGGACAAGGAAGGGCTCAGAAATTATGTTAGAAAATATATACTCGGCCGGGCTTGGTGGCTCAGCCTGTAATCCCAGCACTTTGGGAGGCCGAGGCGAGTGGATTGCCTGAGTCTGCGGGTTCAAGACTCACACGGGCAATTTGGCGAGACCCCCCCGTCTCTACAATAAATCAAAAAAAAGAAAAATTAGCCAGGTGTGGTAGCACACACCTGTAGTTTTGGCTACTTGGAAGGCTGAGGCGGAAGGATCTCCAGAGCCCAGCAGGTCGAGGCTGCGGTGGCCAGGAGTATGCCACTGCACTCCAGTCTGGGTGACAGAGTGAGACTCCAGCTCAAAAAAAGAAAATACATACTCAAATCCCAGTATCATTACATTCTTCAATAACAGGTTATCATTCAGTCTTATGTGCCCTAACAGCTGAATAGTGACTAGCACGGTGACAGAGCTAGGAGGTTTTCATCAAGGAGCAAGCAAGCCGTGACTAACATCATTGTCACAGCAGCACACAGGGGCTTCTTCACACGGAGACTATAAAGCTTTTGGCTTCTAATGTGAAAATCATGATTAAAAGAATGCACTAAAAGGTCACCTGCTATGGAGTCATCCCTACAACACCGTCTCATCATTAACTTCTGATGAGATTTCCCAAGCAGCATCAGACACAAAGATGAATCCACACTGCGGTGAGTAAACAGCTGTGCCATTGCTCACATTACTCACATAACGGCAGCTACTGTGCTAAGTTTAATATCTGCGCCCAGGCATGAATTTAAACAAGACAGGCATGGATCCAATCTTCAAAAGGAAGGGCCTAGTTTTTGTTGTGAGCTAACACCTAAACCCATTTTTTTTCATTTTTCTGTGTACGGAAAATTCAATTTAAGTCCCAGTACCTACAGGCCCAATGTCTTTTTAGCAGCTTATAGAAAAGAAAAGAAAAAAAAACCCCACAATCACATTTCTAATTCAGGTCAAAAATCAAAGTGTACAGTAAAGAAGGTGGTCTTAGATTTTTAAAGAATGCCTGTGTCTGTGTTCATGACGTATATCCTGAAGATCCAATGACTCAAACCATTTTTTTCTGTGATTTTATATTAAGCACAATTTAAAGATCTCTCTGCCATAAAATAGGATATGTCCCTTCAAGGTATTTTAATCTTACAGAGGGTCAAAAGATCTTCAAGGATATTTTGTATTTTAAAAAATTGATTCCTGAAGCCTAAGACCTAAATGACATTTTAAAAGCCAAAATTCCAACAGAAAGCAAGCATCTATATGCACTGGGCGTTTGCTCACTATACTGTCAAATACTTATGCGTCATGCACAGGTCTCAAAATTACTAATCAATAAAAAAGAAGACAGGACAGAGACAAGAAAAAGTAGGAAGTCTAGGTTTCGCTCACACGTTTGCCAATGATTCACTATAGGACTCTGGCAAAAATAGCCAGTTTCTCTTCAAAAAAGGGATGATAAGTTTTTTCCAGGGAAAAGTGATTTCTGTAAGGTAAAGAATAATATATTTTTCAAATAAAAATATCCAATTTATGCACGTAAAGAGCCTTACCACTCTTCTGAGCAAGTATAATATTGCTTCATCAAGTCACGTGAATCTTTCCAATTACTAATCCTACTCTCTGAACAGAAATTTCAAAGCTTATTTATTTAGTCCTTTGAGGCTTGTTAAAATACCCAATGTCCCTACATGCTGTGTCTTCCATAGCATCTGAAGGGACCAGTGGTGGCTTTCATTACCTATCAGAGGGGAGAGAATATGTATGAAGCCATGTGACCATCTGGTGACTCAGTGGTAAATGACACAAACAAAAATAAGACAGAAAATAGAGCCTTGGATGTTCCCTGGATTCCCAGGGTCAGAAGCTGAGGAGTACACTGTACCTCGGTCAGGGCTGAGGCTGTGGTCATTCTTCCAGGCACCAATGTCTCCGATACTTTAATCAGAATTATAAAGAGACGCGCTTTAAAGACTAAAGTCTCTCTTCTCCTGGTGAGTCCTACTGTTCAGGCATAACTCAGCTCCTGGGTTACCATCGTCAGGGTAAGGTGCATCCTGCCATGCAGAAACACTAAGAAGTTGTAATATGGATATAAAGGGGATAATTGGGGTATAAGAACAAAAATCAGCCAGGTACAGTGGCTCATGCCTGTAATCCCAGCACTCTGGGAAGCCATAAGTGGTAGGATCGCTTGAGCCTAGGAGTACAAGACCAGCCTGGGCAACATATTGAGACCTCATCTCTACCAAAAAAAAAAAATCAAAAAATTAGCCAGGCACAGTAGCACACACCAGTAGTTAGTCCAAGCTACTAGGGGGGCTGAGGTAGAAGGATTGCCTGAGCCCAGGAGTTTAAGGCTGCAGTGAGCAGTGATCATGCCATGGCCCTCTAGCCTGGGCAATAATAGTGAGACCCTGAGGAAAAAAAAAAGAGAGAGAGAGAAAGAGAGAGAGATTCTAGAAGACTTGGTAGTGGCCTGGAAGGAGTTTGTGGGCACTGAAGACCACGCATGGTGCCCAGAGAGCTGGCCTAGCTTCTGCATAGATGAGCTCACAAGGAACGTACAGAGAAGGGACAGGTTTGGGAACACAGTGCATGAATTCTGCTTCTTGAACGTTGAGGAGGACAAGGAGGACTTGAAAGGAAGGTCTCTAGTGGGCAGCTGGGCACATGGCCTGCGGGCTGAGATATCAACAGCTCACATACCGGAGGGAAAGCAGAGGAAGGAGACAGAGATGGGCCCTGGGGTACCCCAACATTTCAGGTGCAGGGAAACTGAGAAATTATAGGCAGAGAAGAGGGGAGAAAGCTAGGACAAGGTTAGAGACACCAGGGAAGGGAGGACTCCATCTTCAAGAAAGGCAAAGTCGGCGACTCAGAACAGGATAAGGGTCGAGACAGCCAGCTAAGCCATCAGCTTAGGCAGATATGTAAAAATAAGCAGAGGGATGCTGATATTAACCCCCAAATAAACATGCCTAACTGCAAAATGTCTTAGGATGAAACTTCATCTAGTCTATAAGGACATATACTTCAAATGAACAGTCTTTACTGAAAAAACACAGACCCTTTTAGGGCAAACACACCGAGGCCAGTGGAGTTTATTTCCACTGATAATCTGGGTACTTTTCGTGAAACACACTTTTTAGTTCAGTCAGAGCAATAATACCTACGTCACTTCTGTCTGCAGATAAAGTAAATCAAAACCAACTACAGCACAAACAAGAATCCAAAAAGTATTTTATGGAGATACACTCAACAAGGATTTGGTTTTAACTCCTTTCACACTGAGAATCACAACAAAAATGTTATAATTCAAATCAATCACCAACAATTAATAAAGAAACAGGCCCTATTTAGATCTACAAAAATTTACTGAACTTCTCATCTGCCAACCTACTTGAGTTTCTACTAAAGCTCAATTTTGGAAGTAAATCTCACTTCGATCACAACCAAAACAATTTTCTTTATAATTCACATACTAACAAACTCACAGGAAAGTCTGAAGTTTCTGGAACACAATTCAGTGAATATTGTTCTATAAGTAGCCAGAAAATGACACTCCAAGAGAATTAGAAATATTCACTTCTGAATAAAATCCTTACTTAAACATTTGGGTCAACTTTCTTCTTAGGATTTAGGGATTATAAAGGATTATAAACATACTGCAAGTGTAATTTTATTCACAAGGATTTGGGAAAGAGCTCCTGAAACAATATTTAGAATGAAAAGTCATTTCACTTTCTATGTCCAGTTTTCTTTTTCTGTCAGCTAGTAACAAATGAATATTAAATAAAGCTGAAGCAGTATGTATTTTTTGTTATATAACAATATTCTAAAACTTCAAAAATATGGCAAGACACATTCTGCTTTGTTATTTGGATGAAGTGTTTTCTCAGTACAAGAAGTTGAAAAAAGTACTTTAAGCAAAAGAAATCTATTCTGCATAATTATTTTCAGAAGTAACAGATTTGTGGTTTGTTTTTAATTGATGAGTGGGTATTTGCATTTGTTTATCATAAGGTAAAAACAGGGGGTTGAAAACTAAATTAAACCAAGTACATTCTCACTCTATCTTATATGCCTTGAATTTCACACAAAACATTTGAGAAAATAGTGCCTACTCTTTGAATCATTTAAAGAGGAAAAACCATCTGGAACTATCTAGATGAGACACGTGAACACTCATATTATGTACCAGCTCAGCCTGGCAGGACCAGGTTCAACAGCCAAGATTTGAATCACCTCCTGCAATTGAAAGAGACATGATTCCCCTGATTTTAGGGGGCTCACAAGTCTAGGAAGAAAAGGACACGACAAAATACCCAATTTCCAACATAAGGTGACAGGGGACATAACACACACATGGGCAAAGTCACTGCAGGCTGGTCCTATGCAGAGGTTGTCTTGTCTGTCTCTCTGTCAGGGCTTCGCGCAGTGAACAAATGTCTCCACTCCCCTTTGTGCTTATAAT